AGTTCAATTCCCAGCAACCACATAGTGGCTCACAGACATCCATAGTGAGGTCTGGTGCCCTCTTCTGGCCTTCGGCATACACACAGACTATTGTATACATAATAAATAATAAATAAATATTTAAAAAAAAAGAAAACCTGTAAGATCAGTATAAACTGCGCACTTTTCTTATCTTACCTTTCTCACACATCCATGTGCTCTGGAGGACGTTCCAGAGCTGTATCGAGCAACATTCCTCTTTCCCTTCATAGCTTCCCTGTTCTGCTTCTGAGGGATAAGCCAGCCAGTCCCTGTTGGTAGTTTCCTGGCTCAGCTGTTAGGAACAATTCATTAGTGCTCTAATGAATTGCCTTGTGCACACATCATCTTAGTTTTGCAAATGTATCTCAGGAACAAGTCCCAAGAAGTGTGGCGGATGGGTTCAAGGGTAAGTGCGTGTGTAGTTTTGATAGAAGTACCAAATGTCTCTCCTCAGGGATTGTTCCAAAGTGTTATAGTTCTGTTTCTGTTAAAGCACAGTCAGTAAACATTGGACTTTCCCATCCTACAGACACAAAGTAGAACCTTAGGGTACTTTTCAATCTAACAAAATTTTGTTTATCTTGTGTGTGTGTGTATGTGTGCGTATGTGCACTTCCATGGCATGGGGCATGCATGGGTGTGTTGGTCAGAGGACAACTCACAGAAGTTGGTTCTCTCTGTCCAGTGTCTTGGTACCAGGGGTTGAACTCAGGCCATCAGTCTTGACAAGGTTCTTTACCCACTGAGCCATTTCACCAGCCCCAGGTGGTAAGTTTGACCTAAATAATCTTTCCAGTTTCCATATGGTTTTATAGTTTATTTGTAAATTCTTTTTTTAAAATAAATTTCTTTTAAGATTTTATTTATTTATTATGTATACAGCATTCTGCCTCCATGAATGCCTGCAGGCCAGAAGAGGGCGCCTGATCTCATTACAAATGGTTGTGAGCCACCATGTGGTTTCTGGGAATTGAACTCAGGTCCTCTGGAAGAATAGTCAGTACTCTTAACCACTGAGCCATCTCTCCAGCCCCCTTTATTTGTAAATTCTGGTCTGTTTGGAATTTATCTTGGTGTGCACTGTGATTAATGGACTTAACTCTCTCTATTCACATATGGATTTCCAATTGTCCTGGGAAAAAAAATATCAAAAAGTTTAAGACCAGGGCTTGTAACATGTGGGCCTACTTGTTGGGGTTTCTATCCTGCCCAGTTCCCACAGCTGGCAAGGTCCCAAAGAAAATCACACAGAGGTCTCCATAAGTAATATACTGATTGGCCCATTAGCTTAGGCTTTGTACTACCTCTTATAACTTATATTAACCCATTTTTCTTATCTATGTTAGCCACATGGCTCGGTACCTTTTTCATAAGGGCAGGTCATATCCTGCTTCTTCAGTGGTCTGGGCAGGACTGGGAGGAATGGGCTTCTTCCTTCCTAGAATTCTCTTGTTCTCATTGCCCTGCCTCTACTTCCTGTCTGGTTGACCCACCTATACTTCCTGCCTAGCCAATCAACGTTTATTTAAAACATGATTGGCAGAATATAGACAATTCTCCCACACCAAGGGCTGGAGAGATGGCTCAGTGATTAGTAGCACTTCTAGAGGACCTGGGTTCATTTCTTAGCACTCAAATGAAAGCTCACAACTGTCTGTAGCTCCAGTTCCAGGGGGTCCAACATATACATGTAGGGAAAACACTAATGTACATAAAATAAAAATAAATCATTAAAAACATTTTTAAAAAGTTCAAGACTACTCTTCCCTCTTAATATAGTTATTTACTGTATATACTTAATTTATGCTTGCAGTTGGGTCTGTTGTAAGATGTTTTATGAGTTTACATGGGTCTTCTGGCTCATCCACATGCTTGTGTTATAGTTTTATAGATCTTTATACTAAGCCCTTTTTATGGTGGCACTATCTCTTCTGCATGGTTGCTTTGCTTTTGATCTTGTTTCATCTTCCAGTTGAGCTTTAGAACCAGTGTATTAGTTCCAGGGGTTCTATTTATTTGTAATTAGCTTCAGTAGTTCAGTAGTTAAGTTGATTCATAAAATCAGCTTAAGGAAAATTTGTGAGATTCTGAGCCTCTTCTAGTGTTTGATGTGTCTATTTCTTAGGTCTGTTCTTATAACTCTGATTTATTATGTTTATGTTTATATAGATCATTTAAAAATTATTTTGTTGTCATAATGGCTACTGCTTTTCTATTTAATCTTTAAGCTGGGCTTTTGTTTGTGTGTGTATATATATGTATATATATGTATGTATATATGAAGGCTGTCATTTTAGTCTGTTATGTTAGTTGTTTATTCATTTCTTGTAGACCCTTTTAGATTTTGTAATCCTTTCCTCTGAGCATAGAAAATGGCTCATTTCTTCCTTCCCAGCCTTGTTTGTCTGATCACCGTTGCCAGTTACACTCCTCATGCTTTCAGCATCGGCGTCACAGAGGCCATGTGGAGGGTCTGTGCTGTGCTCCCCTGTAGCAAGGGGTACTCTGGTACTTCCTGTGAAATAAGATGAGGATTTCTGGCTTCAGAAAATGTATTTTATCACTTTAAGGAAATGGCTATCACTTTCTGTTTCATAGGATATTTTAAAACATGTATAACTCTTGCCTTTTGCCTTTTTGCGTTATTAGTGTTAATCAGTATTTTTCCTTGAGATCCATTAATACAATATGTTCTGTTAATGGAATTTCTAATATTGAAGTTAATTTTTAATTTTTAGGGTAATCCCATGAGTTTTTGGTACACTGCTTTCTAAATATGTATTTGGATTTTCTTTGTTATTATAATTTTTTGCTTATTGTAGATTTTAAAATTGAGTTGGGTTTTTGTATTAGTTTTATAATGAATTTGAAAGTTTTTTTCTCTTACCTCTGAAATTGTATAGTCTTGAATTATTTTATTTTGCAAAATCTGAAATACTTCCCTTTGGAATGTGCATGAATGGATTCCATGTTTTTATTTGTTGCTTTCTCTTGCTGGAAGTCATCCCTTGATACAACAGTAGAGTTTCTGCATGTAGTCTTGGCACATAGACAACTTAAAATACAACACTACTATAGGTGCTGTACTGTTGTAATCTATTGTCTAGACAGTAAGGACAAGAAAGTGACTGCACATGTTCATTATTGGCCGAGTTTCCCCTAAATATTTCTGAACAGTGGTTAGTTGAGTCTTTGGATATGGTTCCTGCAGGAGGACTGTGTGTGACCTGTGGAGTCTCCAGAGGCTTCCTGTGTGACCATCGATGCCTTCCTCAGAATACTAGACAGGCTCTGTGGTGTGAGTTTGACTTATAACTTATTTCTCTCTCTCTGTAGGTATGGGGCGGATGTTGATGTCAACCCTCACCTGACTCCTGACACCCAGACCCTTTTCACAAGGCGGCTTACCTCCTTGGTGGTCTGTCCTCTATACATCAGTGCTGCCTACCATAACCTTCAGTGTTTCAGGCTCCTTCTGAAGGCTGGGGCAAATCCTGACTTCAATTGCAATGGTCCTGTCAACACACAGAAATTCTACAGGGGCTCCCCTGGGTGTGTTATGGATGCTGTCCTGCGCCATGGTTGTGAGGCTGCCTTCGTGAGCCTGCTGGTAGACTTTGGAGCCAACCTGAACCTGGTGAAGTGGGAATCACTGGGCCCAGAGGCAACAGGCAGAAGGAAGATGGACCCTGAGGCCTTTCAGGTCTTTAAAGAGGCCAGAAGTAAGTAGCCTGAGCTCAGCATTGTCTTGTGATCTGGAGTTCACTGAACCAGAGCACTGATTCCTCTTTCAGTGGGCCTGATTCCCAGATGCTTACAGCTGTCTATAACTCTAGTTCTAGGAGACTCTCCTCTGGCTTTTGCAGACACTTCATGTATATGGTGCCCAGACATACATACATACAAAACACCCATACACATGAAAATAAATAAGTAAATCTTAATAACAAAATAACAACTCCTCCCCGCCCCCAAGAAATTTCAGTTAAAGCACTTAATTAAAGCCTTCGGTTAGGACCAGTAGTTTTCTAGAGTGGCCGTTCAGAGAGAGAGAGAGGAGAGCTTGTAGGCTAGAGGACAGCCTTGGGTATTTCTCTCAGGCTAGCAGAACCGCAGGGATTTGCTCTTACTAGCTGCCCAGTGTTGGGATGACAGAATGTACACTACTCGGTTTCTCTGAGAGGGTGAGTCCCTGTTCTCTCATGGCAAGCTCTTTACCGACTGAACTCTCCCCAGCTCCAGATGGTTATTTTGCCATTCCCAAACACCTAAAGCTGATGCCAGAAATCTATAAAAGTAGATGTATTCTTTCAACGTTCTTAGAATTATGTTCTCTACCGTTTTGCTCTGCCTTTTGACCTCATTCTTAGCTAATGGTTTCTTTTTCACATTTTTCTTTTTTACTTCTTTTTTCTTAGTTTGTTTTTTCTTTTCTTTTTTCCCTTAATTTGTCTCTTAGATCATTGTACCAAGTGAGGGGTTTCATCATGTCATTTTCTTTAAAAATATTTTTAGTATATTTGTTTATGTATGTGCAAGGGAATCACGCACATGCCATAGTATGCGTGTAGAGGTCAGAGGGAAGCTTACAGGAGTCCTTTCTTCCTGCACATGGGTCCTATGGGTTGAACTCAGGTAATTAAGTGTGGAAGTGGCATTCTTACCCTCTGAGCCATCCTGTTGACCCATCATGGTGTTCTCATTCATGGGTCATTTGTTTTATTCTTATTCATCTTGGCTTTCTCCGCCCTTTTTATATCTAACTTCACATATATTTATTGAACAGTTATAAGCTCATTTTTTAGAGTTCCTCTTTTTTTTTTTAGTTCCCTTCAAATAGCCTTAGATTGAGTTCTGTGATAATCCAGTTTTTGTTAAAATAAGATCTGGAGTTTGTCTGTGTAGAAGTTGTTTGCCAATGAATTAATAAGTGAGTGGCAAGAGTTTGAAATTTACCTGTGCTTGGGTTTGTTGTCAGTGCTCTCTGGATTTCAGAAATTGTCCTGTGTGTCTATCTTAATTCCTGCCTGGTGCCCTACATTCACAACGTTTTTCTTGTTGCCTTTTCTTCCTGAAGTAGGAAGTAGGGCCTTGGCTGTTTCTTTTTGATTTGGGGCAGGACTGCCAGCCTAATCTCTGAATTCAAGTACTACAAACTTCGTGTCCCCAGGCCTCCTTGCCCCTGCTGGGACAGAGCAAGAGTATGGGTCATTTGCTCTCATCTGTGGGGTCTCCTGTGGGCAGCCTTTTTTAGGGCACTGAGGATTGCAGGAGATGGGGCCATCAGATGCACACATGCCTGGTTAGATGGAAGCAGATAGCAAGGCCTTCCTTGCCTCCGGGGCCTCCTTGGCTCTGAGATTAGGAATGCTATGTTAGTGCAGTTGTGCCCACCATAGTCAGCTTTGGCCATTTAGAACCAGGATGGAATAAACCTTTTCCCTTCACACTCTCCAGGTATTCCCAGGACCTTGCTGAGTTTGTGCCGTGTGGCTGTGAGAAGAGCTCTTGGCAAATACCGACTGCATCTGGTTCCCTCGCTGCCGCTGCCAGACCCTATAAAGAAGTTTCTGCTTTATGAGTAGAGTTCAGATGCAGCGTTGACTGCAGTGAGGAAGCCGATCATCTGCAGTGAAAGTTGACTCTTACATCCTGTGAACTATGTCCTGCGCTGCCAACTTGTTTCCTGACTGTCAGTGAAGAAGAAACAGCCATGTTCTCTTGAATTGTGATTCTGTCTCAGGTGCTTGGGCCACCAAACACTCCTTGAGTCACTGTCAACTGAGAGGGGCATACAAACTTCATTTTGTTCTTCTTCAATATCTGTTCTGGAGTTTTACTGTTATATATTAATGAAATGGGTTGTGAAATGTGTGCAGTATGGGTTGAACCTGCAAGCCTCGTGGTAGCCCTAGTTGGGACAGCTTGTATTTTTCCAAAGGTATTTATGTTCTTGCTTTGCAATTAATTATTCTTTTAAGGCTTAATATCCAAACAAGAAGAGAGTTTTGATAAGAAAACATGTAGGAAACAGACACAGTTCTTGCACTTGCTGGTCTGTTTTCCTGCCCGGGTTTGTCTGTATGTGCTGTTAGGTGCGCGTCCCTTCTTACTGCTGCAGCATTTTCTCTTGGAAGAGTCTTCATTCCAAGATGGTTTCTTGGCTGCATACACTGCCTGCCATCTCAGTGCGTGGAGGTCCCAGCACAGTGTCCACAGTGCAGCACCTGTCCTGGCAAAGGTTTTCTGATGGACGTCTCATCCTGGGGATCTTCAGACAATGATTACCTTTAGGAGGCCCACCTAGAACTAGCCAGGAAGTGACTTCCCACATTCAGACCAGGGACCATCCCAATAGCACTCACTGCCACTTCTCACAGGATAAGATGACACTGGGGTGCTCTATACAGACCCTCCCATACAGAAAATGGGAGCTGTATGGGCTACCTGGGTGGTTCCAGGCTAAGCAGTTCCTGCTGCTTGGTGCCCACCAGAGGCTGTGTCTCCCTCTTTCCGGTTCAGTGCCTTTGTGAGCACTCCTAGAGATCTTTCCCCATCCTGCCCAGGGTTATTGGTGAGATGACTTAGTGCAGGTGTGAGGGTCATGGGCAGTTGGGTCAGGAACTATGCATAGCCTTGAGCATCCTCAGGTTGCTCCTGTTTGGTGAAATTGCATTTTGTCATTTTGAAACCTCTTAGGACTATTGTGTGAATCTGTGGTGATTGTAGACTTGAGATTGTTTAGGGGCAAGCAGATGTTAGATCTGTTAAAATTTTGACCATGAAAGAAAACTAACTTGTAATGATACTTTACTGTTGAACCATTGTGTGGTTTAGTGACCATCTGTGAATGGAGTTCCAAACCTTACCCAGTGTCTCAGAATGGCCCTGTGCAGCAACACCAAGCTGGCCAAAATGCACTACATGGAGTTGTAGTGGGCCTTGCCCCAGCTCTGGCCAGTGAGTACTGTGTCTGGGGAGGGAATGAGCTGGGCCAGCCTGTTCCTCCCCAGCCTCCCCCAGCTGTTCTGTAGGGGGCCCAGGCCACATGAGTAGCGTCCCCTGCGCGTATTATTTTCAGAATCTCAGTACTGTGAGGTTCTGCTGCTTGTTCAAAACTTCGAGCTTGCAAACCTGAATGCGAAACAGCATTGGTGCTGACTGAGGACAACCCTCTTTGTTTCAGTAGCTCTATGAAAGTACTGCATTTTGTTGCTCTCAAGGATGAGGTACAGGTAGGAAAGAGCAACGCTATCGTGAGTACCCCAGGATCATGAGAGGCACCAAGGGGAGCTGATGTGGCCTTGGTGAGGACTGGTGTTTATGCGACAGACTTCTGAGAGCTCTGGGTGTCTCCTTAGTGTGGAAATGTGGTAGGCCTGATGACACTACTGCCTTCTGACTGAGCTGGCCCTAGCAGAGGAGCTCAGTGGCCCAGAGGGAAGGAGCCTGAAGCTGTCCCTGCTTATCCAAGGGGGATCTGTGTGATTGTTGCTATTCCTGGGGCAGCCACTTGATTTAAACAGAGGTTTGTGCCTTGAGTCTTGGCCAGGCAGGCTGGAGTTTAGCCAGTGCTGATGCCTCAGAATTTATCTTTTTGTGTGCTTTTAGACATATTTCCAGAAACCTACCAATGTCATACATTTTGTAGCTATTGTACTCGCGATGTTTATCACTTTATTTATTTGCTTATTTATTTATTCACCCACTTATTTATTTGTTTATTATTTATTTATTCATTTATTTATTTATATTCTTCCTCCCTGATTGTTTTGTTTTGACATTAGGTAAATTTAGGCAAAAATACTTTTTAAGTAGGTAATTAGCAATTTTCAAATGTTGGCCATTTTTGTTATCAGGCTTAAGGACCATCAGTTTGAAAGTTTTCCCTCTATTCTTTCGTGCATGATTTAAAAATTTTGTTGTTGTTGTTTGTTTTGAGACAGGGTTTCTCTGTGAAACAGTCTTGGCTGTCCTAGAACTTGCTCTGTAGATCAGGCTGGCCTCAAACTCACTGAGATCCACTTGCCTTTGCCTCCTAAGTGCTGGGATTAAAGGCGTGTGCCACCACTGCCTGGCTTCACGTATGATTTTTTTAAGATAAAAATTTTCTGAAAAGAAAAGTACTGTGTATGGGCCTGAGCAGAGATAAGCATGCCCTGACCTGTTTCAGCCAATTCCTGGAGCTGTGAAGGCTCCACTGCAGGCAGGAGGACCTTTGTGCTCTGCCTTTCAGTGGACTCCAGTGACGTCCTGTGAGAGCTGACACAGGCAGGCCCTCTGGGAGTGGTCTCTGTCCCGTGGTCTTAATGGAAGTGCACTTAATGGTGGTGGTAGCAATGCTGAGAGCCGGCGCTGTAGTACTGACCTTGTGCTCTGGTGGCACAGTGGGATCATTGCAGCCCACAGTGCAGCATCTGCAGAGAGCTGTGCAGTGGGAAGGAGAAGGGCAGCCTGTAATGCTAGAGGAAATCCAATTTCCTCAGCTGACTGGCTTGTCTTATTCGGCCGTCATGTCCTTCCTGGCAGATACTAGAATGTTGGCTTGAAAGCGATGGTGCGGTCTATGTCTTTGCATTTAAAACACTCTTGGTTGTAGTTCACAGATTTTTTTTTTTCAAGTTTACTTGTTGCTGATATCCTGGCACCAGTCTGGTTATAGTGGATGTTACAAACTAATGAGACATTTTGGATTTTTAATAGCCTGCATGGTGGTGAAAGGCTTTGCAGCTTCCCCATGCCTGGGGTCCAAGAGTATTCTCTAGGGTCACTGCACATGGCCTAAGAAGTCTAGACATGCTTTTGATGGACCTCTACCACCCCAAATTTATGAGGCCACCCACAGGGAGGATTGTTTGTCCCCCACTCAGGCCTTGGGAACCAGTGGCACCTAGGGTGCTGTGATGGCACCAGTGGTGGTCCGCAGGTCCTTTTGTCTCCTTACTGTCTGCCCACTAGGCACTGCCCTGCAGGGGTCTAATGGCTTCCATCAGCACTGAGAGATTTCTGGAAGCCGTCTCTTTGATTTGGGAGCTCCTTCCTTGTCCTTATGCTCCCCTCTCCTTCTCATACCCCTTGGCATGCAGTAAGTAGTAGGTCCATGTGCTTTACTGTTAGGGATTTGTGGTCATTCCAAGAAAGCCCCACAGATGGGGACATTCAGGTCTTGAAGTGAACAATGATTTGTGGAGTATTTGCTCTACACTCTAGCCTGACAAAAGATGATGAAGTAAGAAGGATATAGGGAGACCTTCTCGAGCCTCAACATGTGTTGGACACGGAGCTCTTTTCAGCCAGTCCTGGGGATTGAACTGCGATCCTGTGCATATGAGGAAGCACTCTACCATGGAGCTGTGTGTTCAGCCTCTTGTTTTGAAATCTGACTGGAGATTGGCGTGCTTTCTCTGAACATGGCTTTCTTTTTTTTTTTTTTTAATATTTATTATGTATATAATATTCTGTCTGCAGGCCAGAAGAGGGCACCAGACCTCATTACAGATGGTTGTGAGCCACCACGTGGTTGCTGGGATTTGAACTCAGGACCTTTGGAAGAACAGGCAATGCTCTTAACCACTGAGCCATCTCTCCAGCCCTGAACATGGCTTTCTTGCACACGCAGTGTGACTGCTCCTGACAGCTAACCGGCCCTGCTCTTCCTGTAGTGTCTGCACAGCTCCCACTGCTTCTGTTGGTGTTGGGCGTATGTATCATGCACTAGGGTCTGTGTGCTGGAGACATGCTCACTTCAACCCCCTCTTTGCTGTTTGGGGATGAGCGTGTGCTTGTTTGCAGTGATCAGGACAGATTGTTTTTTTGCCCTTGTGCCTAGTTAAGAGCTTTCAAAAGTACAATGACATTTTTGATATATTGTTATAATAAATGCTTTTTGCCCTCTGATTTCCCTCCAAAATGCCTTAATTTTGTGGCCTGTATCTTACTGGGTAGAAGCTTCCTTCATGTGCAGTCTTTTATTTACATTCATTCATTCATTCATTCATTCATTCATTCATTCATCCATCCATTGTGCGTGATGTGTATGTTTGTGTTTACATGCATTCCCATGTAAGCTATGGTGTGGATATGGAGATCGAAGGACAGCTTAAAGAAGTTGGTTCTCTCCTTCTACCATTTGGTTTCCAGGGATTGACTCAGATAGCTGTATGGTGGAAAGTGCCTTTATCCTCTGAGCCATTTTATCAGCCCCATGTGCAACTGTGTGCACAGAAAAAGTAGAAGGGACTGGTTCCTGCAGAGTTCCCAATGACTGAAGAGAAGGCTTTACTGCGGGAGTTTACAGCTGTTGAGGATTCTGGGGCTGCAGGGTGGAACCCATAGTGTTGCCCAAAATTTAACTACCTAACAGCCTGTTTCGCCTAGTGGCTCGAGTTCCTGGATTGAAGAGAGTTGCGCCTACAGCTTTCTAGCCAGTGATTCTGTGCTGTGGGGAGGAGGTGGACACTGCCGTTTTCTGTCCCATGTTATTTGTGATTTGTTTTGTCATTTGAAGGTAGCGATGTGGCAACTTTGGATAAGCTGGAGGGAATGAACTGAATAAAGTATTTCTTCATCCTGAGTGTGTGGCTGCCTAGTGCTCTCTGTGTCTTCCCTTTCAGAGGTGGTCTCCGTTCCTTAACACCTGTTGTAATACTGAAAGGAGGAAGGTGTCCCCAGTCTCTCTCCGCCATCCTTCAACCGTTTGTGTGGCAGAGGCTGCCTGCCCATGGACTGATGGATGCATCTTCCCTCCATCTTCATCTTCCATGTGGAACTCTTCTATGAGACAGGGTCTTGTGTAGCCAAGGATTACCTCCGTCTCCTGATCTCCTGGTGGGATCACAGGTGTGCACCACTGTGCCTGCCTCATAATGGTACTGTTTAGGTTGGAGTTTGGACCTTTGGTTCACTCCAGTGAGAGCTGCATAAGTCAGTCACTTGTATGATTTGGTGTAACTGTTTGCCATTACTTCTTCCTAATCCCCTTGACATGATGGAGCCTTTCAAGAGAGTGGATGAATGATAACTCAGAACAACCTGAGAAAATACTGCAAGAGAAACAAGGGAACATAGAGAGTCTGAGCTCCTGGAGGTCTGGAACTGACATCTGGTGCCTCCGATGTATTTGAGGGAAAGGGTGAAACAGGAAAACTGGCCACCTGCTTTCTAAGAAGCAAGTAGCTCCTGCCTACCACACACTAAGCTGTTGAACCCCTTCAGCCCTATGGGAGACAACACTGAACCTTCAAGACTTTCTGCTCCATAATGCTCTTCAGGCAGAAATTGCAGCAGCTTCTCTGAAAACTTACCTCAGCCACAAAGGAAAGACATGCAGATAGCTGTGTGGTATGTGGCCACAGAAATGACCAAACATGGAGGGCTGCTCTTCTAAAGGTCCTGAGTTCAATTCCCAGAAACCATATGGTGGCTCACAACCATCTGTAATGAGATCTGGCGCCCTCTTCTGGCCTGAAGGCATACACACAGATAGAATAATATACAATATTCTATTATATACATAATAAATATATAAAAAAAGAAAGAAATGACCAAACACGCTGTTCAGAGGACTCCAGGTGTGAGTCCTGAGGATCAGGCTTCCCTTTCCAGATCACCAGGGAAAACTTGTGCTAATGTCAGGAAGAGCGCTGTGATTTCAGACTGGGAAACTGCTGGAGCCAGTAAACAGTGGCTATAAGTGCTCACGGCACTTCACTTGACTTTTTTTTTTTTAATTTCATGTGCATTCATGTTTTGCCTGCATTTATGTATGTCTGTGAAAGTGTCAGTTCCCCCTGAAACTGGGGCCACAGAAAGCTGTGAGCTGCCATGTCAGTGCTGGGAATTGAACCCAGGTCCTCTGGAAGAGCAGCCAGTGCTCTCAGCTGCTGCTGAGCCATCTCTCCAGCACCCCAATGGCACTTTAGAAATGAGAGACATTGGAACTTCTTCAAATTTCTGAAGGGAAATTATTTTCAGATCAATTAAAAGTCACTCTGAAAGACTTATGAACTCCTAAAGTTTAGGAAATTACTCGAGGATATACTTCAAAATGAAGGAGTAAGCCAAGAAGGAAGAAGGTTTACAGAGGAAATTGAGGCTCCATAACGAAAAGGTAAAGCTCCAGGCATATGGGATGTTTGCTTAGTCTTCAGCATTGGACACCAAACACCACAATTACTGATCAGTATCAAAACAATGAAAACTAGTTGAGCAAGAAAAAGTTAACACAATAAAAACCATCACATGATAGCTGGGATTAGTGTGTGAGTGTGCCTGATGAGAGGATAATAGTAAGAACAGTGGCGGCAAGTCTAGCCACGCCAGGATGGATAGATGGAAGGTGGAGGATAGTGTGTGCATGGAAGCTAGACAGTCCCTACCGACACTGAGAGGGGCAAGTAGTCACCCAAAAGGGGATAGGCTGAAAATTAGGCAGGAAATAGCGAAGAGAACATAAAGAGGGTAGAAGGGGACAGTAACAGAGCAGAAACTGACTAGACATACCCTAGACATAACAGAGTTCAGAATTATTGCCCCTGAAGAAAAAAAGGTGTGCATGTGAGGGTAATCCCAGATAGTAGGCAAGAAGACACGCTGTGAAACATTTTTCAAGGGAGTCTCATGTGTGGGCTGGAGAGTTGGCTCAGAGTCTTGCAGAGGACCCCAGGTTTCAGTTCCTAGCCTCCATATAGCATCTGGTAGTCACCTAACTCCAGTCCCAAGGGATCTGATGACCTCTTCTGACTTTTGTGGGTACCAGGCATGCTCGTGATACACAGACATATATACAATAAATTGAGCTGGGTGGTGGGAGTGCACACCTATAGTCCCAGCACTCAGGAGGCAGATTCAGGTAGATCTCTTGAGTTTGAGGCCAGTCTGGTCTACAGAACAAGTTCCAGGGCAGCCAGGACTACACAGAGAAAATCTCTCTTGAAAAAAATAAAAAACCAAAACAATCTTTTAAATTTTATTTTTTTAAAAAGAAAAACTCCTTTTATTCATTTTACATACCAATCCCTAGTTCCCACTTCCTTCCCTCCTCACATTCCCTCCACCTTCCCCACCCCCTCACCCCCATTCACTTCTCAGAGAGGGTAAGGCACATTGCTTTGGGGATGGTCCAAGGCCCTCCCTACTATATCTAGGCTGAGTAAGGTATCCATCCAAAGAGAATGGGTTCCAAAAAGCCAGTACAAGCAGTAGTGATAAATCCTGGTGCCACTGCCAGTGGCCTCACAGGCTGTCCCAGCCATACAGCTGTCACCCACATTCAGAGGGACTAGTGTGGACCTATGCTGGTTTCTTCCCTGTTCAGCTGGAGTTGGTGAGCTCCCATGAGCTCAGGTAAGCTGTTTCAGTGGGTGTCCCCATCATGGTCTTGACTTCTTTGCTCACATTCTCACTCCTCCCACTCTAGGAGCTCAATCCCCCCCCCCAAAAAAAAGGTTCATGTAGCCCAGGCTGATCTCATTGTGTAGCTGGCGATGACCTTGAACCCCTGATCCTCTTGCTTCTAATATCCCAAGAGCTGGGATTATAGGCATGTGGATGCTACCATGCCTGGCACTTGCTAAAAGACTATGCACCCATCACTTTGCTAGACTGGCATAAATTCTTACTAAATTCTAAATCTTACACCCACAGATAAGTGTAGCCACCATTACTTATCAGAGAAACCTCACAGTAAGTGGAGACCTCCATGTTATATCACAACTGAACACAAGGCAGAAACCAATGGATCATAGGAAGCCCAGACACAATGGACACATCTACATATGGCCCTAGCAGCAGGCCTAGTGGAAACATGAGTTTTATAAATATGGAGAATGAGCAATCCTTTTAAAGCCCCTACTCCCAGTGAGATTGGATTTCTGGTTAAAGGAAGTACATCTTTGATGGCACTAGAAGTCAAACTGCTCATAATAGTGAAACTCAAAATGCTGGGATTTCAGATTCCAAGTTTCACCTGGGCCCAATTAAGATCCTGTGGTTCTGTTCTTTCCCTGCCAATGCCCTGACTCTGCTGAGAGAATGATAAAGCTGTGAGCTCAGCACTGTTCACAGCCAAAGCAATTAGATCTTTTCTGAATCTCAGAAAGACCAGCCGCCTGCGTGGGGGGAAGGGGGGCAGGGCTCCTTCAGGACTACCACTAGAGCTCTTTTGTTCTCCCTGCCTCACCATTCTGTGCTGGCTTCCAAACCCATTTATTCCTCTCTGTCAGCTCCTAGTGCCCTCGGAGGATCCAGTCCCACACTGTAGCCCCTGAGGTCATTACCATTGGGACATGACTGGTCTAGCAGCTACTGGGACTCCTAAGGCCCTTGCTTCAGTCGACTTTGTCCCAGTCCTCCAAGGCGACAGCTTGCTCTGGTTCTAGTAATTGCAGGCAGTTCTGAGCACAGGTCTCTTAGTTTTCATCGGCTGTGAGCTGAGCCCTGCATAAGCCCGCAAGTACGACCACAGATCAGTTCCGAAACCGGTCCTTGGGAACCCATTTCCACGTCGCCTCTCGTACCAATTCCAGGTGACCATAATTGCACTAGTGTGAGCAAGGAAGGTTTGAGAGAATCTAACTTTCTGTGGAATACCCTTGGGAAGAGTACCCAAAGGAAGTGGGTGAGCTGTCAGGGGACGAAGCCCTTCCTAAGGCGCCAGTGGGCACCTTAATGGAGAGGTCATGTGTAATTTTAGTTGAACAGCTACCAGAGACATTTTCCTGGATTATCAGAGCAGGAGATGCTCTGTGTTTATGAGGCAAAAGTGAGCAAGCAAGGAACTGAGCTGTCATAGGGACAGAGCCCTCCCTGCAGCATACCTTGTGGGGGCCTGTGAAAAAGGATGGTACTATCAAACTCGAGAAGCCTGCCGGCACAGCTGTATTCAAGAGCTAGCTGCTAAGAAACCCTTTATGGAGGCGGTTTGAGGGCTGGGGGTGTCTTCAGCATGCTCTGTGCGTCTCCGAGTCCCCTATGGGGAAGTCGGCTGAGTTGCCCCTAAATGCACTGTTAAGTGAGCCCTCACTGGGTTATGGCACTTGTAACCATGGCCACTGGGATGGACTGAAGAATTCAGAGCCAGGAAAGGCTGGTACTTCCTCCTCCAGTGTTACTCTGGCGACCTCTGCTGGCGGACAGAGCCTAGCCTTGAGGCAGCAGGCAAGGGAGGAAACCCGAGAACACAAGGGGGAGTTAAAGCAGACACGTGTGCTTTCTGGCAACTGGTGCCAGAAAATTCATGTTAAGTGAGTGCATCCTCGATGTTTAAAGAAGATAGGAAACGCCAAGCAGTGGTGGCTCACGCCGTTAATCCCAGCACTCAGGAGACAGAGGTAGGCGGAGCTGTGTGTGTTCGAGGCTCTATAGCGTGAGTTCCAGGACAGCCAGGACTATTTCATAGAGAAACCCTGTCTTGAAAAAAACAAGCAAGCAAACAAACAAAAACCCACCCCAAACAAAAAAAAGTCCCCCAAAACTCATACTGCCCATCTCACTGATAAGCACAGATGCAAAATCCCAAGGAAAACACAGCAAAGGGGTTAGCAGCATGTTAAACACAATGCATT